AATCAAGATACATGTATTCTACTTTGTATGATAGGAATGGAAAAGCAGGACCTATACAGAGGTAATAGGGGTGACTATTTTTTTTTTATTTGGTTGTTTTCATGGATGTAACATGACTTTGAATTTCATTATATGTAAAAAAGTGTTGAAAATACACCCCTCAATCTGATATAAATGCTCATTCGCCCTGTCAAATACAAAGGAAGACAAAAATATTTAGCTCATTACCAAGAAATTGGATAAGCTATCACTGTGCCAAATTTCAAGTCTCTAGGGCAATTAGTTTATATCAAGATTTTAAGATTTTCGTGGCATGCTGTCCATGAAAAACAGTTAACAGAAAATGGCCTTTAAAGTAAAAAATGACCTACTGTGATACTACTAGTGGCCATATGAAACAAAATTTCACACACAGCATGCTTATCGCAGCAAAATAATATACAGGCTTTAATTTTGATATCTAGACACATTCAGGTACAGTGCAGCCTTTCTATAAACGACATTGTCGGGACCAGAAAAAAATATCGTTATTGAGAGTTGTCATTATAGAGAGGCAACCAAAAGTTACTAATGATATAAATTGGGAAATGGGCACCATGTCACTATACAGAGGATGTCGTTATATCGAAGGTTGTTATAGACAGGCTGCACTGTATTCACTTGTGCAAAAACCTCAAAAATGATACTTTGACCTAATTTTCAGCTTAAGTCCCACCCGACCGCCCCCTTAAAGAATTATATAAAGATCTTGATATCAAACAAGCTGATGACTTATATGTACCCCATTAAGAAATTTTCAGATTTGAAACAATTTATGTTTTACAATTTTTTATTCCTTAATTTTTAAAACAATTCTGTGTGTACTGTCTGGACTCTGTGCTGCCATATGAATGGCTCTGCTTGATATAGGATTCACATGTCTGTTTGGGTGCTGGAATACTTTGATGTGAATAGATTTTGTATGGACATCAGGGTGGGGGGCAGAAATGTACTCCTGACTTTGAATGCCATGGATGTGGGAAGGATAAATGTGTAGATTCACTATTCACCAGCAACGTGACTATTATGTCCGGCCGCACTGGAAGTTAGACACCATTTGTACTGGAGTGATGTTATAAAAGTTGATAAGTCATCCTTTTTTAATGATGATGATTACAACTGCTCCTTTTATTCTTTGTTCTATCATGTTTTAGTTTATAATTGTCGCAAGCAAGCTGAAAGAGTTATGAGCAGTGGTTGCACCTGATAGGTCAGAGCTAGCTATTCAGTTTTTCAAGAAGTGATCGCTTAACATAGCTTCTCAAGCTGAGTGTCAACTTCATTTATCACTCACACGACACTGTCAAGTACACACAAGTTAATGCTCTCTGCATCGATTCCCAGGATGAGTAACCAAAAATTCGGAAACACTAGCCTACTTAATGTTGGCATTGACCTATAGACATCTCGACAATGAGAAACATTGTGGGCTTTACTATCACAGTGCAAGGTGGCAGAACCAATTAAATTACCCCCCAGTCATGAATTGATACTGAGAGTTATAGCCTATGGTGTTTCAATTTCAGGGGTATCAGTTTCCAAGGAAAGTTGAACTTTGCTCCACTGGGTTGCGTACGTGTTGGGACTGAACAGGAGATCAGGGGAGGGAACACCATAATTATTAGATCATATTCGGGTCTAGTTCATACCGCTTTGAAAGACATGCTTGTTACCAATAAAAATTGATCTACGAGAAAGGTTTTGATTTGATGTTACAGAATAAAGAGATGTTGGGGTTACAAAAGGTCAGATCTATTAAAACATTGACATCACCTGTTATATTTACTGTTAATTTTGCCAGCCTGTTCACTTAATAATCTGCACAATCCCGTGGGCTGCCACAGGTTATAAATGAATATGTCTTTGTCATCTCTGTTTCAGTAGGTGGTGAAGTTACCACTTTAAGCAATAAAATGTCAACAGTGTACTGAACCCTCCCCGTACTTAGATACTTTGCATACTTCTAGAGTACTTTGTGTTCCCTTTTTGGATCCTACTTCTATATATATACTTAGGAAAATACTTTCTATTCACTTTTTGGGTCATACTTTATATATGTGTCCGCCCCAGTCAAAATCAGTCGTAAGATGCAATATCCTGTTTGGAGCTCTGAGGCTCGAAAGGCTAAAAAGTGACTTTCCATGAATTTTTTGTTTTTGGGATCTATTGAAAGTTTGATGTCTTCTGCTTCATTTAAATTTAAGATCAAAATAAACACTTATGATCGACTTTCTATTGTTTCCTTTTTTTGAGCCGGTATTTTACCTAATTCGTTTTAAAAATGATCTTTTGGTGTTCATAAGACCTTATGCAGTTGCGAGCGATGTAAAACCTCACTAAAACAAACAAAAAATGATCTTTGAAACCTTTGATGCTTTTGTATGTAATACGCTTTCTATTTAAACGCCAAAGGTAAAAAATATACCTCGGGAAGCCCCGTTCAAAGCTCTATAGTTGTGTGCCAATGAAAAGACGGTATTTAATCATCACTCTTTCTGCAAAGCATTCAAATGCATGGGTGTCAATTTCTCTACTGGTGGACCTCGTATTCTGACCACAAGGGGCTTTGCTTTTCACGCCAATTCTCTGGCTCCAAATATTCGGATATTTACTAACAAATTATTTATGCTATTGTAACGAAGAAAAGCTGAACTTTCTCAAGCGTTTGGTGTGTTATAGCAAAAGAGCAAATAAACAGCGATCTGAATTATCTCAATTTCACCGAAACCACGCTCTCGGAAGGCCGCACTAAATTAAAGAATTTGTTCTCCATCGTTGATCCCAACTGAAATCTCAAATTTTATAAGGACTATGGATTGTTACTAAAAGATGTAGATAATACTATTTTTAAAATGTAAACTGATGTTTTTCAGACTGAATTTTCAAAGTGAAATTTTTAAGTTCAACCATTCCGAGTTATCAAAGTAAAACCAAGCTGTGCTGTGAACAAATGGGAAAACAACCAACTTGAGTCCCACATGCTCATATATGTCCTATACAGTTGTGAGGGCCATAAAAGCTCTTACTCTTACCATACTGAAACTGAATTTTGAATCTTGAGAGCAGTTTCTATTTTGTGGTATTGATTGCTCTAATATGGCGTCAAATGTGTTTGTGTCCAAAGAAAGGTACCAAAAGTCGGATGTTGTTCATTTTGAGTTAAGGGTTGTACCTTATAGCAAATTCAATGCTGAGCACAGGGGTTTTAAATTTTTTAGATATCTCTAGTAGTTTTTGAGATATTACACATTTTGCGAGGTAGGGTATAAAGACATATTTTGAGAAAATGAGCTTTGAAATTTAACAAATGTGAGAACGCATACCAACTTTTTTTTTAAAAAGCAACTTTTTAAATGTACTTATTCATGGAAAATTAATTTCCAATTTTACATTCAGTTGACATCAATATCACGAATGGAATTCAATGGTAAAACATAACATGGAAGAGAAAACGTGCTTCAACCAAAGCCTTGTAGTGGATTATCTTTGCTCCAACAATAGATTTTAACACCTTTTAAAAGCAGTCCTCATTATTTGTTTTTAGTATACCCTTCCCTCAAAATAATTCAAAATAAAACATTTAAAAGTCAAATCAATGAAAACCCTTTCAGCACATTGTAAAAAATGTTGATGTTGAATCTATCATTTTTTTGTGGAAACACATTTTGGTCAAAAAAGTGATTTTTGTCATTATCAGCCTGTAGCTTGAAACGGTCTGCGGCAACTTTTGGTACCTTTCTCTAGGCGCACACACAAATGTTCAGATGTGGTGTCGAACACAAACTTTATTGCTGAAGGTTCATACGACTGAAAGAGAAGCAAATTGTATCTGATATTGAAATATCTCTTTATTTTATTATGTCATTTAATATGACCCAGAAAGGGAAGATGCAGTATTTTGTTATGAAAGTATTACACAAGAAGGGAAAATAAAGTACAGGAAGTGGTAGATATTTGAAGATGATTTTCTTGCAAAAATGTTAAACCAACTCACAGAATCCTGCCTGTCAGAGACTGCCAAAATGGATGTCTGAAGCATCCTTGGCATCTTGTGAATATTCATCTACTGGTTGGCAAAAAAAATAAATTGTGGGTCTTGAGAAAAACTATTTTAAGTGGCATGTTAGCTGAAATGGAGATTTTTCAATGGCCTTAACTTCCACCAATGGATGCAACTTGTGTTATTAAAAATGACTGTGGTACAGCCCAAAGAAAAATTATTCTATCTCCTACCTAGAAAACCATTTTGGGGAAAAGTATTATGTGGCTGTTAAAATACTTTTCCCTCTTGAAAAAACTGCTATCCGTGGTAGAAAATGAAGAAAACTATTTTAAGTGCATAAGTTAAAATACTTTTCTTCTCATGTTTGAGTAAAAAGAAGCATTGATGCAATAATGGTCATTTAGTGCTGAGAAAAAGTAAGATAGACAGAAACAACAGAGGGAAAGTAAAGCAGTAGGAACTACCAGCAGGGCCCTTCAACAACCCACTTTTTCTTCTCAAATGGCTCTGCCAAAAGCAAACGAAACTATTGTATGTAAGTACCGCTTTCAAATAGTTTTTCGCACACTTTCGTTCATAAAAAAGTATTCTAAGTGACACTTTATGTGATTTTACAAGAATGGAAGAAATTGATTAGAAAACGATTTACAAAATGAGCCTGTGTTTGTTTTTTCTACACTTCATGTGAGTTTCAGATCCTAGAATTGCCTTCTGTTGAAACGAGTAAGTTTTTTCCTTCTCCTGTAAAATTTGCAAAATGTCACTTAGAATAGTTTTCCTCTAGACCCGCGAAATGTTTTAAGTAGGGGGAAGGAAAGGACACAGGCTAAAACCTGTCATAAGTGTGTCTCAATGTGTCTTTGTACATATGTACAAGCATGTCATTTTTAAAGATTACTTTGACACATTGCATGTTTAAGCCAAGAATTACTAAAAGTGTTTTTCCTTTCTCCCCCAGGTATTGTTTGGTGATGAGCTACAATTTTAAAGAGGAGTCAGTTGTGTGAAAACTACATTTCAAGAACAAACCCAGAACAACTTTTTCACTTCTGAAGTGGGGTCTGTGAGCCCAGACTGTATTGATGTCTTGTCCATTGCTTTTCTGGCCTATTTGGTAATTGGATATTTGTCAATGGCCATCCTTTTTAGATTCTGAGAATATATGTGTCCCTTTGCTCTTGCTACTCATACAACATGTCAGGTTTTAATGGTGATGTGGACTGTGACATTGCCTCTGCCATATTCAAAGAATTCCAGGCAAAGTCTTTGCATGCTTTTTGTGACTTCACAGTCATTGTGGAAGGACAAAAGTTCAAATGCCACAGGTTTATAATGGGTGCCTGCTCAGAGTTCTTCAATGGCCTCCTACGGTCAGGTATGCGTGAGAGTTTAGAGCAAACAGTGACCATTCAAGGGATATCGAAAGAATCATTTTCCCTTTTACTGCACTGCTTGTATTCAGGTAGCAATGTTTTTACCCCTGAGAATGTTATTGCTTTATGGCATGCGATAAATATGCTTCAGATTACTTGTTTGAAACAAAAATGTGAAGACTTTGTCATTGGCATTATGGGGCGCAATTATGTTGACTTGTACAGACATGCCAAGCTTCTAGACTGTGATCGGGTGTTGAACGTTTGCCTGGATCTTATGCGTGAAAACTTTGAAACTGTTTCAAAGATGGAATCTGTTGTCTATGTTGACCCTAAGGATTTCCTGTATTTGATTTCCCACAATCACCTAATAGTGTCATCAGAGGATCTGGTTGTGTACGCAATTTTGAAGTGGGTTTCCAAACAAGATCATTGTAGTTCCCCCGATGACTTTGGAGAGTCTGTTTCTACAAGTCATTTGTCGGATCTCGATAGTAATACTGATATAACGGATGTTTGTCAAAATGTTTTTGATAAAGGTGCCACTGCTGGGATTAGCACTTTCAAAGAAAGTGAAGAGGATGGTTTGGACATTTCAAGTGACGATGCTACTCCTTGTGCAACAGTGGACATTCATATTGTGAGCCAGGAGTCAAGAGATGGACTGAAGAAAGATGCTGTTAAAGAAAAAATACATTCCAGTGCATTTTTGAATCCTAATGTCAGAAGCCAACTCCAAGATAAAGACACTTGTGGTGTAGCTTTGTCAGAAAGTCCGCTCAGAAGTATTGGAAAGGATTATGCAAGCTCTACACTTGGTCATATGTTCTCTAGTGCAGAGAGGAAATCATGGTTAAGCAGATTACTTGGTGCAGCCAAGTTGTGTCTGGTGAGCACTGTGTGCATTGAGGTGCTAATGGGGAACCAAGCCGTCCTGGAATCTCATGACACTCTTCAGATGGTGCGGGAAGCTGTAGTCTATCAACTCAAGCCAAGCCACTCCCTCACTTATTGGCCAGAATCTGCTATACACAGACTTTCCAGCAAACTAGAAAATGTTGCTGTGTTTCTCCACACCAAAGATGCCTATCTGATGGCGTACAGCTTTGAGCGAGCTGAAGTTTTCTACATGAGCAGACCACCATGTTCTCAAACGAGCTCTGGGTGGTTTGGACAGGAAAATCTTGACCCTCATAGCTTGTGTGTCTTTGATGATCGCATTTTCTTAGCCAAAGCAAACAAAGTGCAGAGAGGTTTTTCTTTTCCTTTCAGTCGAGAGTCTAGAGATACATATGCAGTCCTGGACATTCTGTGCACCTTGACAAGCCCTCACAATTGGGCACCTGTCATGAGCCAAGTCGAGCGTGTGCAAGTTGTGCTTGGACATGGGAAACAGCTGTATCTTATAGGTTCATCCATCTATCGCATCACTCCTGGGGAATCACTCACTCTCTCTAGTGCCACTAAAGTGAAAGCGTTAGCTTCCATTCTACACACACCTTCCCTGGCTTATGGTTTCAGAAACAACATTTTGATTTTCGGACAGTGCCAAGACGCAGAGAGAGTCAGGGTGACCTTGTTTGACCCGGAGAGTCTTGAGTTGAGAGACTGTCCTGAGGTTGAAGGGCCAGCTGACCACCTTGTGGCTTTCAACACTGAGACAGATGACTTTTTATTGCAACGAAATGGGAGTCTGTGGCAGATTGATCAAGACTGTGACAGGTTGAGTGTACCAAAGTTTCGGTTTGTGACAAAACTCTGGGGCTTTGACTGGAACCTGAGAGGAGCAATTGTGTACAAGAAAAGCTTGTACTTATTTGGAAACAACAAACCTCAGCCAATGGAAACCGGGGCTCCTGGTTCAACAGGAATGTGGTCTTCTAGTCTGCCAGGAATATTTGATAGCATAAAGGTGGTTCCAGTACCTGCTGCTACACAGTGCCTGCCCGTTGTCTTGCCCAGAGACTGGCTTGTGATAAATGTAGCAAGTATGCAACACGTTATGTCCATTTAATGATGTCTTTTTTTTCTTATTGATGCTTGATGTATTCTTGTTAAAGAACCCGGCGAAAAAGTAATTATCTTTTCAATATAATAGTACTCTTCATACCTCAGAGCAAACCCTTTATTCCAGTACATTCTAGAATTTCATCCCATGAGTGATATTTTTATAATGAAGGTCACTCTGCCACATGGAAGACAATGTTCAAAGTATTTAACATACAATGTATACATAATAATAGATATTTTGTTCCAGTGACACTCCAAAAATGACCTCCACCTCATCCGTAGTGTATGTGGCATAGCTGTGAGGTGATAGCCTACTTGCACCTTGTCTTTGAAGCTACTTTTGCACAAAAGAGCACTACTGGGTGAATAGCCTACTTTTTGCCAGTATATTTTAGAAGATTATGATCAGCAGTAGAAGCTGATTTTTCAAATTAATAATTTCTCCCTTCTTTTCTTTATCGTACATTAATTTGCAATTTTCACTCTCTGTCTTTGTTTGCATATTCAGCTTACACACGGCATTGTGCAAAGTCAATTATTTTGGAATATATATATATATATATATATTAATATTCATTAAGGGAGAAAGGAAATATCTTTCTGTCTGTAATGTCAGTCTGTGTATCTGGCTCAACCTTTTTCGGTAAAATTGCCTTTATAACATGGGTTGTGGACAGCGTGCTCTGGTGTGGTTTGCTCCTTCTGTCCTATCAAAAATCTGTGTTCAGACATGGTGGAATCAGGCGCTCGTCAGTTTTTGGATATGTGAAGTTATTTGTTGTATAATTTTAAAGCTTGTTCATTTGTCTTGCTTTCGGTGAAAAAATACTATTATGTCATTCATAGTAGTCGAGATATTTGTGTTTGAAGGAGGTGGAGGTCGCCTCGTTTCAGAGGTAAAATTAGCGAGAAAATGGCAGCCAAAGTTTGGCAACTTCCAAAGCTTGAGAGTTATTTGAAACTGCAAATTTACATTTTTGTTCCTTAAATTAACATTTTACAGTAAAATTCACATAGAAATGTGTCTTTAAATGAACTTTAAAGGTGTTTAGTCAAAAAGCAAAAATTCAATAAAAATGGCCAAACAGACAGAAAAATGCAGTTTTTTTTCGATTTAATTATTTTGACGAGTGCCTGAATTCACCACAATGCTTCACATCTATCATCCTTATCCCTTCTCCTTCTATATAATATGTTACTGTCCAGCAACACCTCTAATCTTCCGCACTTATAATATCTGAATGATCTAATGTGTTGCAATTGCTGTAAAACCCATACTAAAACTAAGGAAGCCTTGGGGACCTCTACTGTCCTGAGGCTATGCCATTTGTAATGTTTTAGAATGTCTGTCTTGTTCCAGCTTCTATTCTCTTTTTGATAAAGTCAAATTAATGAAATGATACGGGACGTCTTTTTGAATTGTTCTTTTTTCGTGGATTGTAATAATTTTATTTTATGTAGGCCCTATTGTGTGCTTTTCTCATGGAGTCCAAATGTACTAATACAAATGGAGGTGAATGTGACTGTCCTATGATTTGTGCCTTTGAATGGTTTTGTAGTGGAGTAGTGAAAGTTATTACTTGAGTGTTCAGTTCCAATACAGGATGAACGAAATTGATGTTTAGCTAACAAACAAATTTAGTACTAGAAATCAAAGCGACAAGTAAAAATAATGAAAATAAAAGCACGAGGTCCTCCCTCACCAACCCAAAGATCCTAGAATTAGGCTATACGCCGTCTCATTTACTACTATATGCCCTTGACTATCTTCAGCATGCGATAGCTTTAAAATTGTGCACGTCCACTTTTTAACCCCACGAGCTGCCCTTGTTGGCCAATTAAAAAATGTTGTTGGTCTTTTGGCTGAATTTGGCCAATTTGGACGCTTTTGTTTATTTTTTGTTTTTGTTTATTTTAGAAATGAGGAATAGAAGAAGAATATTAATATTATGTTAGAAAGCTTATTGTCAACGAAAAAGGCTTGTTTGACTATGACTTAATTTGGCCTTCAATGTCATAAGTTTTCTTGTAAGTACATCTTATTATTCGCGGGTGTGTACTTGGCCGCAATAATTTTCACTGAAATTCAGTCTTTCCTTTTCACTATTCGGCAACCACGCATATACCACATAATATATGAAGGACACTGGGGGAAAAACCAGCGATGTCAGGTTTTTGCAATTCCGAGATAACAGAAAAACAAACTTAAAAGACTTATAAACTCTTTTTCTGTTACAATGATCTCTCCACTGTTTACATTGACTTCAAGAATGACCATTTGTGTTGACAATGAGAAATTTTCACTTTCCTCATGTTATAGGTGTTTCGGAAGGGGCAAAAAAGAAAAACTATGTTGGAAACTGACAGCTCTGGCTTTCCCTTGTAAGCAGGTGGCAATTGGTCTCCATCTTCTAGGAAGTCAATGAATTGTGAGCTTCTTCACTTCGTCGCTTTCTCACTTGGTGACACCATGTTGATTTGTCATTTTCATGTGAAAAATATTACTATATTACATCCTTTAAGATGTATAATTATATATTGCTTTTTCTCTTTTATTTTTTCCTCTTTGTTGTGTTTTACTTTGTTGATGTGTTTGTTTTTTTTTCTTGTTATTTTTTTGATGTGGTGTTTTTCTATTTTTTATGTTTATATATATAGAGTAAATGTCATTTAATTTGATGTTGTTCTTACCTTTTTTAATATAAATGTGTTATGTTAGATAGAGCGTGTCTCCACCAAAACCGAACTCATGTAGTGACACAGGCCCTTGATGTGTAATTCCACAATTTACATGTAATATCCTTTACTTTTTCCTGAATTACGCACGTTTTTAAGGTTAAAACGGCCAGTCTTCGAATAGATGGACGCACGCCCTTATGCTTGTCAATTTTTGTGGTTGTTTATATGCTGTTCTAATTTTGATTTCATTCTGTTGTGAAACCTTTATTTTTCATGTTTTTACAGTCTGTGTGGCTAAATGATATTCTGGATGCTTAAAACAGAACACAAGAAATTCTAGTGCTATAGATGCGTCTTCTTTGAGAGTTGAAAGTTTGAAAATTAATGGCAACATTTATGGCAACTTTTGCCATTTTTGTGGCAACTTTTGGCTACTTTTAGACAAAAAAATGGCAACAAACGCAGATGCCAGCTTGTAGACTGTAGGCAGTTTAGTGAAAAATTCAGAATTGTTCGATTTTGATGAAAATAGGCTCACATGAAAGGCCCTGCCACACTGATCACAGTGCTTTTGAAAAATTATCTCAATATCTCACTTGGTTGAGAAGTTATGGGATTTTTTTCAGCTTTATTTTTTGCTCTAAATCTGGTTCTTTTTTTAACTGCATTTTTTTTCCTAAAGGTGGAAAAAATCGACAAAACTTTTCATGACATCGCAACCAGTAAAGATGTCTTCCTGTTTGTTTTTTTGCATCAATTGAAAGTTATCATGATCTTAATTCTCTTTAATAGGGTCTGAAGATTAAGAGTGGGGTCAATTTTCGTGTGTCCGAAAATGGATGAATTTGAAAATAAATGATATTTCAACAATGAATAGCCAGAGATGCCTGTCGTGAATCATTTTAATCGTCTTATTCCCAACATTTATAAAAGAGGTTATGAGAAGAGGATAATACAATTTCAAACTACACAAGAAAAGGAAATTAAAGAACAAATTGAAGTAAAAATGATTCTCCAAAAAAATATTTGACTGAAAAACACATAGACCTACTAGATCATAGATGCTACTCCTGGTACTCCTACAATCTATTCTCCTTGGCAACCCAAAAAATATTTACGCGCGTTTTCACGACTTTTTGTTCTCTTTGGGAACAGCATGATTCTGAAAACTCTGCAATTCATGAAGAGTACATGTAGGCCTACTATGTATAAATTTAAATATAATGTTGTCTTCGATCATATCCCTACGCCAAGCACCCGACCTGGTCAAGGAAGTTGAAGAGTGCCTTCTTGCGCACACTGCAGGTAATATGCGGTGGTGAGTCTCGATACCAGCGGTGCGGGTGTACTCTCGATGACGATGGGTATGGTGTTTCCCATTGTATGGGCAGGGTGGTTTGAATTCAAGACAATAATTTTCAGTAGAAAAAATGCACTTTGTGTCGGCTATCCCATCCACGATTTCGAGTCTTGCACGTTCGTTGTTGTCTGTGCCCGACTTCTAATTAATATGTATTTTTATATATAAAATAATATAGGCCTATTGTATAAGCATATTTGTCTGTGTGTGTGTGTGCGTGCGCGCGCGCACTTATGTTTTCACATCTATGTTATACTATGTTTATATGTGTTCATTCTTATTTGAAAATACCTGGTTTCATATTACATACCGGATATATTCTTTCATCCACCTTTTGTCTTCAGACTTAACTCTCTAGCCATTACACCGGCCTATATGGTGTAAAGGTTAGGCGCTTGGTTGTCGCACACAGGAGACCCGAGTTCGATTCCCAAATGGGGAGTGGGGAGAACATTTTTAGCGAGTACATGTATCTCGATATTTCTTCTGAAATGTTTCGTCTCTCTCCGACAGACAGGATCGGAAGCCGTCCCCTAGATGATCTAAATTGTATTGATCAGGGCGTGAAACGCCTACATAAACAAAAACAAAACCAAATCTAGCCATTACTCAAATAGTGAACACTTATGAATCATCTCATCAGTGCCAAACAACTGAAGTGGAGAATTTGTATCAAATCAGGCATTTTCAATTACATGTACCATGTATATAATATATATATATATATACATGAAGAAATGGATTATACATTATTTGATCAGAAATCACCCAAGTTCTCAAGATTATGCAATAAATGTCAATTATTTGGACAATGTTACGTGTGTGTTTTAGATTTTATTGCTGCATAACATGAGTGTCTTCTTCGTGCAACACTTGGCTATGAAAACCAAATCAATTTTACGCCAGCTAAGATAAATCTTTATTTTCCAGATCCTGGCACATTGCTCTGGTCTATCACCACGCACGCACGCACACAGACACACACACACACACACACACACACACACACACACACACACACACACACTCTCTCTCTCTCTCTCTCT